CTAGAGAAATAGAATAAATAAATAAATAATAATAATAATAAAAAACAAATAAAATAAGAAAGTTAAAGAAAAAGTTGTACAAGATTAAAAAAAAAAATGAATTCACCATTATGTTGTGGCATATATAAAAATCCTTGCGAAATTTATTGAATTGCACTAAATCCATCTTATTTTTAAGGTTTTTCTTTAAATTAAGATCGATGTGAAACAGGCATAAGCAATGTAAAGAATTTGGAAACTCAGCGAGAATCACATTTGCCATTGCTGGATCTGAATCTGTATAAACTACTCGAGGCATTAAATTGCCAATACATTTGTTGATTATATGAAGAACCCAAATAAAACTATTTTCAGTTTCATCCTCTAATAAAGTGGCAGCAACTAGATGGGTACGATTACAATTATCAATGGCTACAAAGAAGCATGCAATCATGTTATATTTGTTAGTGCGTAACGTAGTGTCAAAAAAAATTATATCATGAAACCTTGTCCAAATATGTTGCTGTTTGGGAGAAAGCCAAACAATACTACATAATCTTTGTTCTGGACTATCAAATTTAGCTTTCACAAACCACCTAGGATCACTAACTTTAAGACTATACATATGTTGCAAAAGATTTGATGCATCAAATTCATCTTTAAAGGAAAGGTTCATTTTTGCACTTTGTATTGCATTGTATAAACTTTTTTGATAAATTTTTCAACCTGGAAATCTACTCTTTAAAAGCTGTTCTATATTTTATGCTTCAGTTGTACCATGGGCTACACAGAAATTAATAAATTCTATTATATCCTTGCCTAATTTACGATGACTTGCGATTGTGGTTGATGGTGCTGGTGACATAGGATGATTATGAGAATTTACAATAGTAGTAAATGTAATAACTGACGATGATTTAGGCATGTTTCCATTTATCCGCCATTCACATCCAGTGCAGTTTGACTTATGGTTTCGCTGTTCTTCTGGATTTAAAACTTTTTTTGGCTGGTATTTATCATCACAACTACACTCCCAACTAATTTTGCGTGTAACTTGTATATTATTTTCAACACCTAATTCAATATGCCTTTTTCGAAAGCTAAAACCCTGTTCTAATGCATATTTTTTTAAAAAAGTTTCGGCATCATCCCAGGTTTGAAAAGTTTGGTTCTCATAAATTCTTAATGCCTCTTCGCTTTCTTCTTCAGAAGACTTAATATCAAATAATTCAACTGCTTCAGGTTCATAAGGTAAGTTTACAGGAGATGGCTCTTTTTCAAACTGTTTGCTTTTATGGTTTTGCATATCATTTTTTAAAAAACTAACATTATTTTCTTCAATATTATCACTAGTTTGTGATGGATTCATAGTATGCAATGAACATTACATGAAAAATGATGCAACTATAGTTCTAGTAACACGTAATAAGTGTATTTTGAGTATGTATTTATAAGTTAATCATCTGCTATATTAGTTCTTATGCTAAAGAAATTCAATTATTATATTTGTATTTGTGCAAAAAGATATAGTCACAATACTTGCATTCAAGCGAAAGAGGTACAGCTATTTGTGATCAAAGATCCTTTTTATTTACACATTGTGTTACATAAATCTGTCAAAATATTTATGATCGGAGTTTGATCTTGCATACCAGATATGTATGTATGTACATACATAGTACCCTGTACCAACATTAGGGGCATGTGTAACCAGGGGATTTTCCCCCCGGTTAATCGTAATTATTCTCAAAATATTATATCTTTTTTATTTTTTTTATTTTTTAGATTATTGCTTCTTTTTTTTTTTCTTTATTGAACATTTTATATATATATATTTATTTCATAGATTAATATAAAGAAAATAAAAATTAATTAAAGAATTAGTAAACTTTGAACTGAATAATTTTTAGATTCTGCTAAGTGAATAGAAAAATTGTTTATATTATAAGACCATTAATAAATTTACAAGTAACTATAGTTTTTTTATTGAATAAAAAAAAGAATTGTTTCATTTAGTAACTTAATTAAACCAAATGCAAAACTTCTAAACATATATCTCTTAATCATAAGTCTGTACTACTATCAGCTTTCAAGAAAAAAAAAGACAGTCTACCAATACAGCATTCATCTGATTTATCTTTCTTATTATACAGCAATTGATATTTCATTTTTCTGATCTAATCAAAATAATAACATGAATTATTATTAATCATGTTAACTTTTGCTATGCTGATAAGGGAGATAAACATGTAGATGCTATGTTGGTAGGCTATCCTGAAAAAAAGTTACATTAATATTCTTAATGAAACATAAGTTTGCCAATAAATTTACAAATAAACTATTAATTCAAACCTTTAATTCTTGTAACTTTGAGAAAAAATAATACTAATCTACTGAGACTTTTGTATATTTATAAAAAAATCATTAAAAATTAATTGGTCTATTACTTTGATTTTATATCAGGAATACAATAATGTAAATTAAATGTATAGTTAACAGACAGCTAGGATGGCAAATGTACAAATTTTGAATTATAATTGAATGATAGTTGAGCATATATAAAATATATTGAATAAATATATAGTTTTTAATTTTGTATATATTAATATATTAGAATTGTTTAATAACATTTATCTAATATTATGACAATTGAATGAATTATAAAATAGATGCATTATATATAAAGTAGTACTATATAATTATTTAAATAACTAAATATTAATTAATCGACTAATTAACTAATCGATTAATTAACTAATCAACTAATCAATTAATTGAATCAATTAATCAATTGATCAATTAATCAATTTTAATTAATTAATCAATTAATCAACTAATTAATTGATTAATTAGTTGGTTAATTGAATAAAATCATAGTTGAACAAATAAATTTATTAACTAATCGATTGAATAATTTTTGTTGATTTGAAATACTACTTGTACTAAGTTTTCTTGTCATGCAGTATATACCTTTTGTTCAGTTTATTTCTCTCCAAAAACTTAACTAATTATGTTGAATGTTTTTTGTTTCTGGTTCTAATGCTTGAATTGGATTTGTTTCTTTTCAACTGGCTCTAATTCTGGTATTTGTAATTATCTTACAAAGAGGTCTTGTTAGTATATTAATCTTTCTATTTTTCTATTTTAAGTAATACTTTATTTCTTTACACTTGACCTTCTCTATGAATATTGCCCTTTTGCATATTGCTTTTTTTTTCACAAATAAATCTGCTTTGTCATTTTACTTATTATTGCTATGACTCTTAACTTTAACTAGCTCTATTCTATTGTTTTTGCTTTTAACTAAATCTACAATATTCATTATTCACATCATATTTTTTTTTTCAAAACTTTAATGTCTCCTAGATCTTGAGTTGCTTTGTTAATGTTTCTTAGTGCTGTGAGGCTGTCTGTATATACTTTAATTTTCTTTTTTCTGATATTGCTAAAATTGCTAACCATATCACTGCTAATTCAGCTGTTATTGCTAAAAGTCAATTTTTCTAGTCTCAATACTGTTTCTTCCTATAGCCAATTTTTTTCTTTTTCAACTTGCACCTAGTTGATACATATTTTTCCTATACTATTTCTTCTTTTTTCTTTATATTACACTATCTGTATAAAATGTATATTTGTCTTTGTTTCTTATTGTGTTTTTTATAAGGTTTCTATTAGGTGAGCTGTAATTTCATCATCAAATTCCTGTTTTTTGATTAGTTCTATTTTCAATCTTTTTACTTGTTTTAGCCTAGTTAATTCTCTTTCCTTTTTTCTTCACTTATCATTGTTCTATTTTCTAATATTTGTTCTATTATTGTGTTAATCTTGCTATTGCTTTTCTTTACTAGTGCTTCTAAAACTGCTTTTAAACTGTTGCTTTATCTTATTTATCTTTTACAACTATTTATTGTTTGTTCTGATCCACTTTTACAACTTTTGCAATTGCTTATTTCAGTGTGTGTCTTACTTTCTACTTATTGTAATATCCAATGCTTGGCTAGGATTTTTTTTTTTCTTTTTTAATATTTTGCCAAGTTGCTGATTGTGTTTTAGTCTATATACAATCTATTCTTTTTTTTCCTGTTATCTGATACATTCATCTAATTGATCATTATTGCTTAAGTATTATGGTTGCTAATCTTGTATTGGTTATATATTTTTTTACTTGTTTGGGTTATTAATATTTTCCTTCTATTTTACTAAACTACTTGGCTTTTTTTCTTTTATATAACAGCTCCTGAAGGCTTTTGAGCTGTCTCTATATAATTAAGTTCTTATCTTTCATATCTACTAGTTGGTTCAAATATATCAAATCTTATTTATTTATTGTGAAACTACTTGCTGTCCAAGTTTTGATTTTGACTAGGTTTCTTATTCTTGTTCTATACCTATATGCTTTTTATAAACATTTTTCTGCTTTGATATTTATTCTTATCTTTTTTGCTTTGATTATTGTCTAACATGCTAAATTGTGTTTCCAATATTTTATTTCTTCTGGTCTTTTTTTAGAGTTCCAAATGTCTTTTGTTAAGCTTGCTTTTTGGTAGCTTTGGGCTATTTTAAGCCTTGTTAGATCACCTAGGCTATTCTTTCTATTAAGTCTTATAACTAAGTTGCTTATTTGTTTTTTTGCTATCTCTTGTCTTAGTAATTTACAGTTTTCAAGCTTTTTGTATTCAATTATACAATTGTTTGCTGTTTTTATTATATTGTACTTGTGTTTTGCCAAACATATTATCAGTTGATAGATCTTGTCAATTATCTTTTCTGACATTTTTGTTAGCTGTAGAAGATATCTTAGCTTTGGAAGTATCACTATATTGTTTATGTACATGATTTGGCTCATAGTTATTTTCTTATATCTGAGGTCTTTGACTGTTTGGCTGACTATGCCTTTTGCTTTTTTATAGACTAATAATTCTTTTATTCTACTGTTTAGCCAGATTTCCAATGATCTTACAATTTTGTTTCTTGGCTTTTCTATTATTTTACTTTGTCTGAAAGTGATCTCTTTATCTTTTTTTCTCTGTCTAAAATTTATTACTATAAACTTTGATATTACTTTATTTATTTCAATATTATTGGCTCTGAAGAACTTTTCTGCAATTTTAAGAATTTTTAACAGTTGCTTTTTGCTGCTTGCAATTTATGTTATATCATCTGTATATGCAATTGCTACTTGCCTGTGTTTTGTAATACAAATAACATCTGTTCTTTTTAACACCTCTTGTTCTATAATGTAGGCTAGTGATTTATTTTTTTGAATCTTTTCTAAAGTAGATTATAGAAAAGCCATCAGATTAGTGAAGAAATTACCTCTTCTTAGTCTATCTCATCTTTAGCTATTATCTTTTTTGTTAAACTAAAAACTGTAATAAACTTGAATCATCATTTGTAAAAGATGTTAATAATGCATTTAGCTATTTTTTGTAGTATTTTGACTTTTTTAAAAGCCTATTTTAAGCTTTCTAAAGGGATTGAGTCAAAATACCTTTTTTATATTTTGTAAAAGTATTCATATTTCTTTGTTCTCTCTTGCATTTTTTTTATCATTATATTTAATAGATGTATTAGTTGTTTTATTGAGTTATCTAGAAGATCTGCATAGTTTGGCTCTTTAAAGATTTCTCTTTTTGTAAATATCTTGGCCAGCCTTCTTGTTATTACCTTTATATTTAACTTTCTAAAAGTCTCAATTAGTGCTATTGGTTTAATATTGTTCAAACTATAACTCTAGTCTATATCTTTTAGAATTAAATAAACTTGTGCTATCTTTTATTTCTTTGGTATTTCTTCTTTTCCTAAAACCAGATTTGCAAAAGCTCTAAAAATCTTTTGTGATTTCTTTTCTACTTATTTTATTAATATGTAACTTATGCCTGATATTTCTAAAGCTATGTTAGCTTTAAGTTCTTTTTAGTATGTTTTTCTATTTTTCTTCTATTTTTTCTTCTAGTTTTCTATACTATGACTCATCAATCCAATCTTTTGGTTTGTATATTTTTTTCTATTCTTTAGGCATTTCTTCTAATTTGGTTCTTCATTTTCTAAATTGATTTTCAAAATGCTTTGTCAAACTATTTAAAACTGCTTCAAGTTCTGTTATTAAACTAACTTCTTTTTTCTCATGGGTTACAAATTTGTCTAGAATTATCTTTTTGTATAGTTTGTTTAACAGGCTAGCAATCATTCATCCTTGGTCTATTTTGATCATTTTGCATCTTTTGTTTATATTTTCTTCTATTTGCTTTCTTTGAGTTCATTTCTATTCTTTTTTTCTTCTGTCTTTTAGAACTTTTTGCCAACTTTTTATATCCTCTATTCAGGCTTCTGACCATTGCTTTTGTAACTTCAGTAGCTTTACTTCTA